GTAGTGCCTTTGTGAGTATATGCGTTCCCATGCAAAGCTGCAGATCTAACAAATGTCTGTCCAAGGAAGCCCATCAGTATTAGGAGCAAAGAAAATGTTTATATTATGTGCTGCATTCATATAATTTGCTATTCACAAACAACATCCCCCAACCCCACTGATGTACATGTGTGTTATTTTACTGAGATCAGTGGAATTAAGCTGCTTTGCAGTGCTCAGGAGATACACTGAAGTGCATTTAATACCGTATCTCCTCATTTTAATATATGCAAATAGTACAGCTCATTTCAAATGCTTGGTGCCAAACTCTTTATTTGTGCCTTGATGCAGCTCTGTTGAGATACAAACTGAGAATTTGACTTTTTCTGTGAAATGAGTGCAGTTTTAATCTAAACTTGCATTCCCATACTAAATGCCAAACTACCCATGGAACTTGTGTCTTGATATAACAGACTGCAAGATTAAGAAGGGAAATTCTCAGCAGTGCCACCTACTCATGAGTGCTACAAACCCCCAGTGTTTGTCCCAGTCCTGGTCACAGTAAAGCTTAGGATGTCACCCCTGAGCTCACGTGAAGTCTGAGGGAGCCTGAGCACTGATGTGCTTGTAGCTCGGCATCAAATGCTCAAAGAAACACTGACATTTTATTTTAAGAGATCATATAAAAGGCATCTTAGAGAGAGAGTGCTTGGGATTTAATTTTTTTAAGGGAAGATTTAGTTGTTTTTAATGCTGTTGATAGATAATGTCCTCAGGCTAGAAGGGAAGGTGATTTGGGGTGGGTAGAGCTGCATCTGGCCTGGCGTTCAGGAGCTGTAGTAGGTTACCACTGCTGTCTGTGGCCCTCTGCAGATGTAACACACCTTTCCTCAACTCCTTGCTTTTGGTGTGCACAGAAGCTGCCGTATTCAAAGCAACCGCTGATTTCTTTGGTTCTAGGGTTATTTTTTAGGGTGGTGGTGAGTTCTGTCAGGGGATGAAGCATCTCAGGTTGCATATCCAGAGCAGCCCATCATTTTGGAACCACAGGCTGAACTTTATTGGTGCCCATCCAAACGCTGTCAGGACATTTTGGTGCTATTTTCTAGTTTTACAACCAACATTCCATTTGTTTTGCAGATGAGCCCTGCATGGGAGACAAATCCATCTTCTGTCAGATGGAAGTGCTCGCACGTTACTGCTCCATCCCTGGCTACAGGAAGCTGTGCTGCGAATCCTGCAGCAAGCGCAGCAGCACCCTCCCACCGCCGTTCCTCACCGAAGCTGCTGAAACTGCAGAGGAGGCGATGTTCGGTCAAAGCGATCTGCCCAGGGCTTTGATGATGCCAACGCCTGCAGTGCCCCACTACGCACAGTTCCTGCCTGGGAGAAGCCCTCTGGGCAGGCTTCCTTTCGCAGAAGAGGACGCAGACACACGCATCTCCTCCTTGAACACTAAGCCCAAAGGTGCTGAATTTCCGCAGTGGAGAGCTCCTCAGGCAAGGAAGACTTCCAGGCTGTTTGCTTTGCTCCAGCAGTCGCCTGCCAACAGCAGCAGTCTCAGTCCTCATCATGCCCTTGCTTTAGCAGCAGCTGTTCCTGTGGGGCCAGCTCACGAAACCGCAGCGGGTGCTCCTTCTCCATCGAGAACCTCAAGAAAGAGCGAGAAGAGATGGCCTTCAAGGTCCTCCTTGGTGGAAAGATGAACACGAATGCTTCCTGGAGGACAGTCATTGAAAGGGGCTTTGTTTGGGTTTAATTTCCTTCCTTCTGGACACTATGGTGCATGCTGCTTTCCACAAGCAGGACGCTGCAGGTCATCAACTCCTTCTCCTTGTAAATACAGAGAACAAGAAGTGCTGGTTCACTTTCTGGTTGCTCCCGTCCTCCTCCCACACTGCGTTATCTGGCTGGCTCGAGTGCACTGGGGGAACGCACCAAAGAATATTGCTAACCGCGAGCAGAAGCTGCTGAGGGCAGCGGTCAAGCGCTGGTACAGAAAAGGGGCCCTGACCTCAGCCCTCACCTCATTACTTTTGTTTTTAAACGCTCGCATGTAGAAAATGCCCCACTATGAGAGGTACCAAACGTTTACACTCTACAGAATACTTTTGCAGTGGAACAACTGAATCCATAAGACTTGGTTTGCTAATTTATCTATATAAATGGATATTGTATGAGCAGATTTGCAGCTGTTGTGTAAATACTGTATATTGCAGAAAAATCAGTATTATTTTTAAGAGTTCTGTGCTGTCAGACAACTGTTTACCTATGTTGCATTCTGGACAACTGATAGGTGCCTGCCATTGAGTACTGCCTTATTTAAGTTCCACAAGTTGATTTTTAAAGCAGCATTATAGTGAAAGGAGTTCAGTTTTCATAGGAATTACATCTACTGGCACTAGGAAAGGGGTTTTTTTTGTAGTATCAGCAATGTGATGCTTTCTTTTGAAATGGGGGGGAAGTGTAAATCTAAAGGTATGAGCCTACTTATAGCCACCCACCCGCTAAAACTTAAGTTTAGAAATGTGCGTGTAATTGCAGTCACAGGTTGGAAAGAGGATTTTTCGTGCCTGTGAAACGAGCACTGACACCCACGGCCTGCACCGAGCAGGCATTGCTCAGCCGAGGAGCAGCAGTGCCGTCCCTTGAGTCTCTTCCTCGGCGGTAACCACGTATATACTGTAAGTACTGGCATGGGCACAGGTCCAACATCAGCTCTGTTCTCCTGATGATCTGTTGTTGTTTCTGAAGCTGAAAACGCATCGCAGCAGTAGAATAGGTGCTAGCAAGAAATAGCTGTGGCAAGACTTAAACCAGATATATTTTTTTTTCCTACTGGAAGCATTGATTTAGAGGTGAGAGAGATATTTATTTTTCAGCATGGGTCACCTCGAAATCTCCACAACCACGATGCATCTGACTGCAATAATCTCCTAGTAATTTATGTCAATAACCATCTCGTTCACAGTCCACCCAACCACACTCTCTCCTGTGTGTTGCTGTAAAGTACTTGTATATAGGATGGAGAACTAAAGATATTTATTAAAAGTTGAATTCTTGATAGTATTTTATGTACTAAATATTTACACTAAGGGCAATTGACTATTCTTTTTGCCAAGATAAAATAGAGTTGTAATTAGATACCTGTACATGCTATGTCATATGGATAGAACAGAAATTTAAGCTAACTAAACTACTGTAGAGAAACTGTTGATCTTATTCTTTAAAAAAAGTCTTATGACAATTTTTTATTACAAACATCTTAATTTCTAAATAGGCTTTTAAAGTTTCATGTGCAATTTTTGCTTCCCCATTAAAAAGTCCTTATGATTGACCCATTTAAAAGAACGGTGTATATGTACCTCTAAAATGATATAAAACAGATTAGGACTCTGAAGATTAAATTCTAGAAGGAAACATCTGTAGTGGTTATGCAGAATCACCAGGCTAAAATAAGGATGAGAACTGTTGTTGGAAGACGTTTAACATAAGTGAGATGTAGGTGGATGAATCCTGTTCAGGAAGTACAGGGTCACGCTATGCAGGACGCATCTCGCGTGGTGCTGGGTGTGATTTAACCACTGACGCATCGACTCGATGCCTCTACAGAATTGCTGCTCCCTTTCTGCAAGGCTTTGTGTGGCCCAAGGAATTAGTATTAAACCGATTGGAGACAATCCCTGAGCCTCAAACTGGCAAATAAGGTGTGTTTGCTACTTTGAAATGCCCCAAAAGTCGATTTCTCTTTTCTCTGTCTTTATTTGTTACATATATCCAATGTGGGTGTAGATAATCCTTGTACCTCTTTGATTTCTTTTCTACCAAGCGTACACTACTGATACTGTTTGTTGTATTGGGGAGCACGTAGCAATAAAGTCTTTAACAGAACAAGTCTTTCTCTGTTTGATTCACCTGGGAGGGTCTGGGTTTTAATTTTTAAGTTTTGTCTTCTGCAAAATGAAGGACATAGTCATGACCTTCAATGTCTTGGAAAAAAAAGTTCCTTTGAAATGAATATTTAACTTTATTTTTAAAAACAGAGGTCCTGCTTTTACCATTGGATAGAGTGGATTGCAGAGAAATTGGGAGAAAGGAAGGAGTGCATTTCCTTTCATCCCAAGACTTCTGGTACATGCGTGAGTGTCCAGGTAGCTGCTCCAACCCTTTTTATCAAGAACATGCAACATTTTGGGCTTTGCTTTTTGAGAAAGAGGGATCTAAGGGATCCCATGCCAGTTGAACAGGAGGCAACTGCTCTCCTCTCCATTACCTGGAAATGTTTTCTGAGCTGATGAAAGGATTTCAGGTCTGTACCAACCACTGAAGACTTGTGGGGTGGGGGGAACAAACAAAAAAAAGACCTCACCCGTGTTTTTTTCGTTTTAAAGAGCCTTCCGGTCCATCTGTCTTTAATAAGTTTTGAGACCATCCACTCCAAAATGCATCCTTTGATCTAACTGCTATGTTTCTCATTTGACAAGTACAGGCTTGCGTCCATAGCTGGGGTTTACCCAAAGTCACTTCTCTGACCACCAGATGGTCTGGCGCGGGGCAAGCGGGGATACACGATGGGCACACACGCTTGTGGGTGGTCACACAGAGCCACCGACTCACGCTGTCACTGAAGGAAAGCTGGCTTGTGTCAGAGAGGCCCATGCCAGGTCTCACTGCTTGAGGTAGGTCATCGTGGTATTGTCCCAAACAGCAAGAGTTTTCCTGCCGTTCTGGTTGCCCATTTTCAAGAGCAGTGAATCTGGACTGGAACTTCTAGACTAAAAGCTGATCTGGGAAGAAAGCACGGAGGGCACAGAGGGCAGTGTTTACCATACTGCAATGAGATACGCTGTGAGGAGTGACCTGTGCCGTGTGTGTACGTATCTCCGGTAAGAACTTGGTGACTGGAAGCCCCAAGGGATGTACTGTAGCCCAACGGAGGAGAGGAGATTTCCATGCAGCTCCGCTGAAGCCGAGAGGCCACACAAGAGGTGAGGCAGCTCCAGTCCCCCCTTCTGCTGCACAGCACCAACAGACCAGCCAAAGCAGCATGGCTTTAGTGCAGCCATAGCCTCTGCTACCAGCACAGCGGGGCAGTAACTACTGGGGTGGTGGTCTGCACCTGAATTTGCTGGCAGTATTGCGGTATTTGGTCTGTTATTATTTATTTTAATGCTTAATGATGTAATGAAAAATGCTAAATAATGTATGTTTGTTTTTAAAAAAAGGCAAACCAGAAAATGAATACTAAAAGGCTAGATTTCAAGCCCACTGCATTGATAAAGAGTTTATATTGCTCAGTTTAGCTTCAGGTCTCAGCTAAACCTCTGTTTTACTATATTCTGCCAAGAACTGTATTTTCTGAGTACTTTCCTGACAGTTTCAAACTGAGAAAGTAAATCTGAAGTGTCTAATGGAAGTTTAATTCTTGTAGAGAGCACTAAGACTAACATTGTCTTTCCAAAATGAAACTCACACTTGAGAGTGCTAAAAAGCTCTATTAATCAAAGTTCAGTACACAAGCTGTTCCGTAAATGGCCTGCAATTGGCAATACCAACAGCTGTAAACTCCGCTGTGTTTCCACTTCTGGAGTGGTTTGCAGAATCAAGGTACCCAAGAGGTAGCTCTTTTAACAGGACCAGATGACAGCCTTTTCCAATACTATTTAAAAGATGCTGCAAGACCTGTAGGTAGTTTTTCGTGTGACAACATTCAGGTGTTAACTCTTTACAAGTGTTAAAGTTATATCTGAAAAGGAAATTTGAGCCTCTGATCATTTGAATTGTAATTAAGCCAGAGACTCCAGCAGTTTAGGAAGATGCCACCATCTATATTCAAAATAGGAAAAGTCCTTTTCCTTTTCAAGTTTTAAAACTTGAAAAATGCACAAAGGAAGTTCAGGCTTAGGT